TTGATTGGCAGCCAGTTTGACACAATAAAACCATTCTTCTCAAATAATCAGATAGCATTGATGTGCTGTGGCTAATATTCTGCACAGTTTAAAAAAAGGAAAAGAAAAATGACAGACTTGGGGCACCTGTGACCTAGTGGTTAGTGCACGTGCCTAATGTACAGAGGTGGAAGTTCTCGAGCAGGCGGCCTGGGTTTCCAACCTGTGTCTCCTTTTCTGCATGTCCTCCCCCCTCTCTCTACCGGGTTTCTGACTCTCACTGTCCTATCGCTAAAATGAAGGCATAAAAAGTCAAATAAATGAATTAAATATTAATACTAATAAAATAATATTGATGTAAACCAGAGGTGAAGAAAGGGTTTGGATATTTAAATTAAGTGAAATTACTATTTAGCAGGTTTGTAAATATATACTACAATCTTAAACTTTGATGATTCCAGAAAAAAAATCAAACGACATCAATGCCAAAAAAAATTGCAAGCAAAGTCGTCCTGCCCACTGTTTAAATTGTACAAACACATTGGCAATGCTGCAGTATCAAAACCAATGTATCTGCAAATTTAGACGCTGTCCCCTTCCTCTGCTCTTTGTGAGACATGAACATAACTTTTGTATCTTTATGAGACGCCAAAGGGACTAGAAAATGTCAATATTTCCTGAGATATGAATTTCAATGTTCACTCTTTTGCTGTTGTTAAAATTATGAATGAAGAGCTGTAGCTTTTATTTTATTTTAAAGCTGGGAACTTTTTGATGCTTTTGATCATCGAAATTGAAATTGTATCTTTTGAAAAAGCCGTATCGAAAAAGTATCCCAAGTATTGAACATTTTGACGTAAGAAAAACAAATATGAAATGATTAAGAGCGAAAAAAAAAAAAAAAAAAGCAGGTACTCTTTTAAAAGTTATGCCGGGAAAAAGGAAGCACTTTACTGTCTCCTTTTTGCACAAACACTGTATGGCGTTTTCAAATATTTGCCATTTTAAACCATTATACAAGGTTAATAAAGAAAATTTAAAAAACATAGAAGAGGGCATGAGGCAGTTGTGAAGCCTTTCACTGTGTCAGGGAGGAAAAGCATTACTTCCCTCTGAGAATGAGAAGAAGCAGCATGTAAAGGAAATACTTAGAATAAGTACCTCAGATACAGTTACAGTTCGTACAGTACTCCAGCATGTGAACTTTAGAGTGTTTTGTGTTTTCAAACAGGTTAGAGTCTGTTTCAGGCTACACAGACTAACAAGTGAACCCAGTTTTTTATTAGGTTGTAGGATCCTCATCTGTGTGCCAAAAGGTTTGAAATCCAGAGAGGTAAAAAGGTGCTCGATGTCAGAGTATCCAAAGAGAGGGAGGATGATGAAGAACAGGAGGAAGTGGAGGAAGGAGAAAGAAAGGAAAGGAGGGAATAAAGGAAGGGGAGAGCGGTTGCACGGGAGGAGTGAGTGTTTGTAGGAAGCAGAGAAACAGGGACAGCGAGAGGAAGCATGATCCCGCTGTGAAGCCGGGCTGCTGGGGCTATATTTAGCTTCTGTTGCCATGTGCCGGGAATGTGCATGGCAGAGGGAGACACACACACACACTTGTGCATGCACAATAGGTTCACTAGTGGGCATGCACTCCTGCACATGTGAGTGTGTGTGCAGCGCAGTGCAGTGAGACAGTTTCAACGGATGACATTTAAGTTTTTCCTCTGATTTCAGACATGCAATCCTCGATTTTCTTTAAGCCCCTATTACATGTGTGATGATGCATAGTGTATATGCATGCATACGTACACAAACACACATAAGAACATGAATATTCTCGTCTCGCTCACACACACTGACACATGATTTTTACATCTTCGGGTATCAAAACACAAGGGTGAAGGTTTTTAAAGATTTTGGTGCAAACACTAAGAATAATGCAAACTAGAATAATGCATCAAGAGTGTGAAGCAGAAAAAAGGAAAAATAATGGATATTTATGGTAAAATATGGTGTTCTGGGTCAAAATGTTAACTCTATGTGTGTGATTTTTCCATCCAGGCAGTATTAGGGGTGAGAACAAAAGAGGGAACACCACCATTGGTTCATGCATCTTAAATACATTTCTGCAGCTTCCATATTTCTCCTATCGTCTCTCGACCTCTACAGCGGCGCTCTTGTCTTTTATCTCCTTCAAACTTAAACACACATCCCTCCTTCGTCTGCCTCATGCTCCCACCAAACACAGAGAGCTTCAGCACGGTGTCACCATGCAAACCCCACGCCGGCTGTGCCAATGAGAAGGCGCTGACTTCCTCTCAACAGCCCTCTGATTGGCCGAGTTTTCTTTTAAGTCCTTCATTGTGAGATGATTAAAGGCAGATCGACATTTAACTCGGTGCATGCTGGGAAGTTCAGATAACAGGCTGTTATGTATCGACAATAAATAAAGCGAATCTGGAGTCTGTCTCGCAAACGGGAGACAGACTCTTTTACAGCGACAGTTTTATTAGTATGGGCGCAACGCCGCTCCCGCAACCTTGGAGGGTTTTTTTTTGCAGTGCATCATTAAATGTGATCCACAGAAATAAGTCGACCCAGTCATAAAGAGGTCAGTAAGGTTGCTAACAAGGGCATCACGCTGCAACAGACTGAACAATTTCCATTTTCAGAAACAGAGCTAATTCAAATGCAAATGTACGGAAGCCGTAAATGGACATTAGGGCTGTGCAATATATTTTTTTTACAATACTATTGTACAATACAATTTTCAGACTTTTCTTATCCATACATTACATGGATTAAAAAAAACAGTATTTTTATTTCCATTAAATTCCTGTATTTGCAACAACCTCCATGCCTGTAGATGGCGCTGTTCAGCAAGTAGGATGGCTCATGGAACCTAAAGCTGCTTCAAGCAATACTCTATTCACAGCTGGTTTCTTAAATTTCTGCAAATCACGTAGATTATTGCAAAGTATCATAATACGATACTTGCCATGCACTTACCCATGCATCCAAACATTTCATTAACCCCGTATTCTCTCGATAGCGAGTTGTTTTTCAGTTGTTTCCCTGTTATCTCAACTTATTTATCTCTTATCCCTAGAGCTTCAAAAGCACAAAACAGACATTCAAATAGGTTTAACTCACCTCGTTGGTGTGTGCAATGGCAGCATGGCATATCGTGATCTGGACTGTCACAGTGACCAGCGTAATGTTTTGTTTCCAAAGTCGCCAGGAAACGATCCCTCAATCGCTAGAATAAAAGCTTTTTTAATCTTGAGATAATGAGATAATTTAGTCTGTTATAATGGGTCCCCCAGCCATGAAAATTAATCAAACTTTATCGATTTTCGCGGGAAAATGCCGCAAAATAAGATATGTGTCAGCAACACAACCACTTAGTATTTACAACTCTACAAAACATGATTTTTAACTACTTTAGTTGATTTTAGTTACCTAAAACAAAAATCCTCAAAGGTGTGGACGGTTCTCTCGGAGCTTACACAAATCAACAAAACTATTCTTCTTTCGTTTTTGTCAGCTTAGGGCTACTGTACAAATTGTTTAAATTTAATTTTCATTTAAAAAAAAAAAAAAGCTGCAAATCCAGGTATCGCAATGAAAGTGCCCCAGGCCTGTAGAGGGCTCTTAATCCGGTGTGCACAGCGCTGCAGGAGCCTCATTTGTAAACAAAGCTGTCAATCATGGCGTTACACCCCTTTTTTATAACAAATAAATAATTAAAACTAAACCTCTCAGAAAACAGAACGCTTGGACATAAATCTAGCATGATAAGAACGGACTATAACGACAGAAATCAGATTTGATTAGAATGTATTTGATGTGCCTTTAGATTACAGAAAGTAACACAGAGGAGGCGGAGCTAAAGGACCTACACCACAGCAGCCAGTCAGCTTGGGGGGGTCCAAATGTTTGTCTTCACTTTTTGTGGAGCTGTTATGTCGTCCATGTTGTTTTAGTTTTCTGTGGGAGCTGTAGTTTTACAAATAAGTGCTGGCTTGTGATTGTTTAAATAAAAGGTTTAGATATCTAAAAACAGGAGCTGATTGGTCCAGGAATACTTATGGAAAGACATGCTAAAAGTGAAGAGATTTTAGTGTATCAGCATAAAGATCAGTGAAAGTAATTCACGCTAGAGTGAAATATAATCATGAACAGAGTCCAGGGTTTATTTCCTAGAGGTCAGCCTCTCCCCCCATTGACCTCTGCAGATTATTTCCCTCATTTGATTATTATTTCATCAGATTATTTGACGTCAAGAGCTTGCAGGTATTCTGAGCTGCTAACCTACTGACCTTTGACCTTGCTGTGAATTTTAGGTTCCTGGACTGACATCATTTCCACTGAGCCTTCAATATGAGCGTGCACACATGTCACAGCAGGGAGTCGATGACTTATTGAGCGGCTGTCTATTTAAAGAGTGACTCTGCAAGAAACTATTCTGTTGAGAATTTTAATTCTACTCTACAAATGTATAAGTTGTTTTTTTTAAACGACAGTGAAGTCAAAGAAGAGAAAAAATCATTAAACCATGACTTTGTCATTCAAAAAAAAAGGAAATGATTATTTTTTCTTCTTCACAAAACAATAAAGGGAAACACATTCTTCACACATGCACTATGTGATATCTTCTCAGTTTTCCTGTGGCAATAAGTCATTTTTGTTGTTTGTTCTTTGCTCAAGGTCTCCACTTATGTATTTGCAAAAGCACAAGACAAAACTTAGAAATAGGCTAAACTTTCACTTCATTATATGAGCAATGACAGCGCAGCCTGTCAGAGTCTGAATATGAATTTCTTTTTTCTATATCGCCAGGAAACAAACTTTGTTATCTCAAGAAAAAGACAAATATGAATGAATGAATGAAAACTTGTATTTTTCCCCTTGGACATTTTGCTTTGCACAGAGAGAATAAAAACACAATACAAGTGGCAAAAGACGTAGAAACAGGACAGCTCATGAAAACAAAATCAGTAAAATAACCAATTATAACACATGAGTAAAAGTACATTTTTTATAGATCTGTTTATTGGAGGAATATCCTGTTACTACTTTCCCAAAGGAGATACATTTAAAACATAAATTATTAATTACATTGATACATATAGGAACAAATTTAGTTGATTATTCCTCTAAAAATGAGTCATCTCTACAACTACAGACAGACACTTTGCAGGTTATGGCACCATCTGGTGGTGAGATAGGATAAAAGTCACATTATAATAAGCATAGTTCTGGATCATGGCAGCTTAAAAGGCAGCAGTATTTATGTTTTATGTCATTATGAAGTTTCTGTTACGTTGTGCATCCAGTCTGCACATATCCACAGACAGGTGTTCTTCTTCATCGGTGCTGATGAACCAGCCGGGGCAACTGACCGACTCAAAGGTCGTATGTGTTCCCTCGGCCCTCTTGTAGAAAAGGAAACGTTGCAATTTCATGTCGTTGTTGATGTTCTTCAGGTTCTCCTCAGAACACATCTGTAGGAAGAAGGAGAAAGAGGGAATTATTTATGTTTATAATTTCAAATAAGGAAGACGATTTCTATCAGTGAAAGATGTGTGATGTGTGATGTGTGATGTGTGATGTGTGATGTGTGATGTGTGATGTGTGATGTGTGATGTGTGATGTGTGTTCTCACCTCCAGAGTAAGCTCGGCATTCCCTCCATTCACGGAGGAGGAGAGGTTGTATTTGTTGATTGAGAGCAGGACAGTCTCACAGCTCACGGCAGGAAAAGTGTAGAACTTTGACAGTTTAAAATTCACTAATGTTGAAAAACCAGAGAGAGAGAGAGAGAGAGAGAGAGATCAATTAAAAAAGGGCGTCAAAGCAATCTAAGTGTCCAAATGATATCTGGAGGGGATTCAGCCAAATATGACATTTTTATATCATGGTTATTTAACCAGGAAAAGAGATTGAGATTTAAAAATCTCCTTTTCAAGAGTCCTTGGTGTCCTGAAATCAGACAAAGGTTAAAATAACGATAATAATCATCGTACCTCTGCAGTCCCCGTCGCCTCCCTGCAGAGTGACGGCCTGCAGTTTCATCACTCCAGAGTCGAGGATGATGCTTTTGTTTGAAATGTCGTTCAGAGCGAACTGAGTCTCACTGTCGGAACGGATGTATTTTGCGTTCTTCGCATCGAAGTTCACGATCGTCTTCACAATTGTTTCTGTGGAGAGGTCAAATAGTTAAAAGGTAAATGGAAGTGATCTTGAATTTGTATAGCACTTTGCTGTGCTGTAGGCATCATTGTGTTGGAAGTGCATGGAGACATAAAAATATACCCAAAATTAGTAACTGTTTTTAATTTTTTTGTTTTTTGAAAGATACATTTTGGGGCTTTTGGTGGAGATAGGACAGTGGATAGAGTCGAAAATCAGGAGCCACAGGTAGGATTCAAACCTGGACTATGGCCTGCATATGTGGGGCGCGCACACTAACCACTGCACCACCACCGCCGTAAAAAACAAATAAATTTTTAAACTATTAAAAAAAAAACTACCCACCCTCCACCAGGCAATCCAAGATGTCGCTGCAGAGCTCAATGCTGCAGTGAGTCGGCGGCTTTTTCAACCTGTTCACCGCCAATATCAGGGTAGCGACATATTGCATGGATTTTTTGTTGTGAGAAACCACCAGCTCCAGCCCGTCCTCCAGTCTTAAGGGTTTATACTGAACATCCTGCTGAAAAACAAAAAAAGAAACCAAACGTCATCATCGTTGTTCCCCTCCTACGGGTGTTTTCCCTTCAACTAAGCCCCACAAAGCTGACAAAGCCCACACTTCTGTTGAAAAAAAGCCCACTACAGTTTCAAAGGGCTTGATACCCCCATGTTTTTTTGATTCGAGTGTTTTTAACACAACATACTCCATTATTTGATTACATGTATTGGTACTTCAATGTTTGAATAAGCTGGCTTGTGAAAAATGAGGTGAATCGGGTTTAGAATTATTTTACAGTTGGCATCAAGGACAACAGACCTGCAGATACCAGAATTGATAACTTTAAAAAACATACTTTTTTGATACAACAACAAAAATACAAAAAGTCAGAGGCATCCAATATTTGGTCATTTCTGGTTTCCAATAATGAAAAAATTTCAAGCAAACTCGTTCACAATGACTAAATTGCTGAAACTCGTTGGTAAACATTGCCAATTTATTCATGCAGATTTTGATGGATTCCTTCCTCTCCTGGATGTATATGTGATTAAAATAACAGAGAACGTTCTTTGTTTGGAAAAGTATTGAAGTATCAAATAAAAAAGCATGTGCAAAAGTCGAAACAAATGATGCAAAAAAGCCAAAACACCAACATCGAATACATAAATGATGCATAGTGAACAACACACATATTCAGAAAAAAGACTGAAAAAGGGAAAGAACACTGCAAATCGAGGCATCATCATCACATGGCAGGCCGTTTAACCTTTTAAAACCATTTCAGTTACAGGACAGCGATCGAAAAGTGTTGCAATTGAGGAAACGTGAAAGGAAGAACACATGTACTGTGGAGCCAAAAACACAGAGAAATTAGAATGAAAACACACTCGTTAGAGGCTTGTGAGAACACTAATCAATCCTACCTCCATGTTAGCTGGGGTAGCTGGCTTGTCATCAAAGTCTGATGAGCTGAAAAAACAAGACAGATTCATATCAAATACACGTTTTCCTGATAATGAGTTATGAGGCTTCCATACATTTAAATACAGTATCAACTCTTTATGTTTTTTTTCCACTGACAGGCTCAGATTGTTCCTTAAAGGTGCACTAGAGTTAGTAGAGAAATGTGAAATTTGAAAAAGTGTACAGATTCTGTGATATATGTTCACAAACTGTCCTCAGAGGAAATTTAGTCCCTGTAACACTGTTTGAAGATAAAGTACTACGAGAGAAGTTATGATGGGGGGGGGGGGGGGTCCTCAACAGTGAAACCGTTACTCTCCTAGTCGCTTTTTAGCTACAAACAGTTCCAGGGACTAATTTTTTCCTTTGAGTAAAGTTTGTGTATTTAGTTTCCATAATATAGCACAGGATTTGTTTCACTTTCAACTTTCAACTTTCAACTTTCTTTTTTTATAATAAAAAGAGCTGCAGCAATGAAGCCGTTTCATATACCTCAAAGAAAAGATTCTCAGGAACTCACACGTAGTCTGACTGCCGATGAATATAACATGCACATCGTGCTCCAAGCCCCTACTGTTTTTTAACCGTTAACTTGTTCCCTGTTGTTTAGAATTGTTTAGTTTGAAAGCTTTAATTGAACTTACCCATCAGGCAGAGCTTGAAAAAGGTGAAAGCCAGACATCGCCTTGGTGCAAAATTCTCTCTGACTTCACTGCAGTGTCTGTCTGAGAGCACTGACAGCTGAGTGACTGACAGCTTCCTTTTAAAACCACTTCACTTCCGTATTGCTGGCATACCATGAACCATGTCAATCCGTCCCACTTAACTTTCTCTGAAAGCAACAATAGAGACCACAAGGTGCAAAAACAATACAACACTAAATTGGCGATGATTTAGAAATCTTTCAAGCGAGAAATCTAAATGATTTAAACTTTGCACTTTCTTGTTTCTGCAGAAGAAATCCAAAAGTTCAGAAGTTTAAAAACAGTTCAGTGTGAGCACCACAACATTTACTGTATATCATTCCTTTATCTAACCAACTCTCCCCTCCTCATTTCCTCATTTCTCATTAATAATCTTAGGGGGGATTAAGCTGATGTATTAGATCATTTCTAATAATAAACCTTTATTATTATTACTACTACTGTTGTTACTATTTTTTTTTAAAAACTCATATTTTATATCTTTTCATCACTCCTGGTTTTCTCTGCTATTTCTGTAAGTTTCATTCTTTTATTCTTGTTGTTTTGTGTATGTTGTAAAGCACATTGGATCAGCCGTGTTGTGTGTAAAGTGCTTTAGGAATAAAGTTGATTTGATTTGAATTCAGATCTCGTGATGTTTGTAGAGATAAGAAACGTAAATTAACTACAACTAAGCTCCTTCTTTGACATTGTGCATGGTGATTCATGGGTTGTCTCTTCTGGTAATATGAGCTCATTTGACCTAGAAGCCTTCCCCACACCCACCTCTACACCCTCCTCCTGGGATGTTTCCTGTTTGCATAAATGAGTAAAAGTATCCAACCTGGGGAAATCCAGATTCTGGTCGAGGTATGAATGTGAGGAGATGGTGGGAGGAGGCCGATATCACCAGACCGAAACCTCTGAAACAAACAAAAGATACAAACGTGAAGGAGCGGTAAGCAGCTGTAGGATTAGAGATTTTGTAGATATTTAGGCTTCTAGTTTTTAGTTGAAACTATGTCTGTCAAACGATTATTTTTTAAATCGGAATTAATGCTTTTCACCACACAAAAAGTATCGAAAGGTGAGCTCACTGATTTAACCCAATACTGATCGATATAAAAAGTAAGAATGCTAAAAAAATCACTGCTGCAAAAAAAAAAAGAAAAGAAAAAAGGAAAGAAAGGAATGCTTGAGAAAATATTGTGATAATTCTGTTAATTATTCTACCCCCGGAAACACTCTCAGTCTCTCATGTTTTTTGTGATCTAAAGGGTTAAAAACTTACTTTCCCCCCCTTAATATATGGTGGAGACTTCTGGGAAATTCTGTGCACTGGCATTATAGTTTCACACCTGTCTGACATTTACTGACATCATATGTGGAGGGTGTAAAGGAGAGGAAAAAATAGGTTGAAATGCTTCTTTCAAATGCTACTTGTGCAAAACTTCACAGGAAATGAAACTGGTGGTCAGTCAGTGTTGTCTTCACACACCACATAAAACAGGGTTTGAAGAGTGACAGCCTTTATGTCAAGAGAGACCAGAGTGTTTTCACACCTAAAGCTCATTAGGTGCTCATTTGCTCCTATTCAGATGATGAAAAATTATACATTTTTGCATTTTCTCCTTTCTCCCTTGTTTTATGTTTACTCTGCAAAGTGGGCCAAAGCGCAAAACCAGCGCAGAGCTGTCTGAACGCCAACTATGCCACAGCCTCCTTTCCCCACTGCAAATGTAAACAAAAGCCACGAGTACAGGTCACACTTTGCATTGTGGGACACCGTCAAGACGCTTGTTAGCTAATCCCATAACATACCATCAAAAAGGATACCACCTACAGCAGCGAGGACAAAATGACTCATCGATATTTAGGCAGATGAGCACATCAGTTAAACGTTTGACCTTACTCATAATAAAAAGGAAGTTAATAAATCTGTGAATCAACTGGTGAACGAGAGGGACTTTCAACACTCTGCCATGCGCTACAGTTTTCACACTTAAATGTAGAAATCAAGTATATCCTCTGAAAATAACTCTGAGTCATGACTGTCTACAATGGGTGTAACACCCGAGTCCCACTGTCTGTGATGTTTTCAGAGTTTTCAGAGTCCTATCTTCAGTTTGTTTACATCGTCGGGACGGCCGGCTGACTCCTCCCCTCGTGTATAAAAGTTGTTTAATTGAGGGACTAGAGAAAAGAAGAATAACATACTGTACTCACTGCTTAACTGTGTTTCTAGATCACGCTCATTTCAGGTAAATTCAGTATCCCCCTGAAAATTGTAAGCAGCTTAAATCTTTCTGCAGAATTCCAGGGGGACAACAAAGTGTATCATATCGTAGAATAACATACACTGAAACAGATGCATTCAGCGAGTCCTTATTTAGAAATCGCTATAAGACAAAACAGACGGCAGAATAAAAACATACAGCAGTAAAGATTTGTCAGAACAATGAAAAATATGTATCTGCTGTTAATGCAAAGAAATGTAGGAAATCAACAAACAACTAGAACGATGATGAGGAACTCTGATCTGAGTGTTCACCTCACCACAACGTCAGCGCCAACCTTTATGACTGCAGGTTTCATAGAAGGTCACAGGAAGCCTGTGAGCATCTAGTCGGAAAAACTTGATATAAAAAAAAAGGAAGAAGGAAACTTATCACGTTTCTGCTGAAGTTCTCAGTTCTTTTTTTCCATTAGTTATTTTTAATGTTGAGTTTTGTTGACTTTGTTCGAATGTCTGTCTGAAGCACACATTTTAAATAACATCTTAGCAGCACTGTAAAAAGAAACCTGAACATGTAACATAATATAAGTGAGCTTTATGGCAGAGCTGTGGTATCGATTGCATTAAATTCTAAATATCAGCAATACTTTAATTATTAATCTGCAGACTAAACACAGTGTCAGCGTTCCTCATTCATGAAGTCTGACTTCCTTTCCCATCAGGTTCATTTGCAGGGCATATTCACACAGAAACACCTACACTACCTAAAAGAAAAAACCACAATCAAATCTAAGAGGATCTGAGAAAACAAAACAGATTTGAAATCTCTTCATGGGAGGGGAAATGAACCCCAACCAACAATATATAGGAAGTGAAATCGAGCCATAAATTGAAGTTTAAAAGTCTCCTTGCTGCAACTTTTGCCTGCAAAGTTTTGATTATAAACTAAGCACCCACTTCGTTTCTTGAGTTTAATCAATGTGGAGATCTAATTTTTCCTCGATGTACAGTGGGTACGGAAAGTATTCAGACCCCTTTACATTTTTCACTCTTTGTTTCATTGCAGCCATTTGCTAAAATCAAAAAAGTTCATTTTATTTCTCATTAATGTACACTCAGCACCCCATCTTGACAGAAAAAAAACAGAAATGTAGAAATTTTTGCAAATTTATTAAAAAAGAAAAACTGAAATATCACATGGTCATAAGTATTCAGACCCTTTGCTCAGTATTGAGTAGAAGCACCCTTTTGAGCTAGTACAGCCATGAGTCTTCTTGGGAATGATGCAACAAGTTTTTCACACCTGGATTTGGGGATCCTCTGCCATTCTTCCTTGCAGATCCTCTCCAGTTCTGTCAGGTTGGATGATGAACGTTGGTGGACAGCCATTTTCAGGTCTCTCCAGAGATGCTCAATTGGGTTTAGGTCAGGGCTCTAGCTGGGCCAGTCAAGAATGGTCACAGAGTTGTTCTGAAGCCACTCCTTTGTTATTTTAGCTGTGTGTTTAGGGTCATTGTCTTGTTGGAAGGTGAACCTTCGGCCCAGTCTGAGGTCCTGAGCACTCTGGAAGAGGTTTTCTTCAAGGATATCTCTGTACTTGGTCGCATTCATCTTTCCTTCAATTGCAACCAGTCGTTCTGTCCCTGCAGCTGAAAAACACCCCCATAGCATGATGCTGCCACCACCATGTTTCACTGTTGGGATTGTATTGGGCAGGTGATGAGCAGTGCCTGGTTTTCTCCACACATACCGCTTAGAATGAAAGCCAAAAAGTTCAATCTTGGTCTCATCAGACCAGAGAATCTTCTTTCTCATAGTCTGGGAGTCCTTCATGTGTTTTCTGGCAAACTCTATGCGGGCTTTCATATGTCTTGCACTGAGGAGAGGCTTCTGTCGGGCCACTCTGCCATAAAGCCCCGACTGGTGGAGGGCTGCAGTGATAGTTGGCTTTGTGGAACTTTCTCCCATCTCCCTACTGCATCTCTGGAGCTCAGCCACAGTGATCTTTGGGTTCTTCTTTACCTCTCTCACCAAGGCTCTTCTCCCACGATTGCTCAGTTTGGCTGGACGGCCAGGTCTAGGAAGAGTTCTGGTCGTCCCAAACTTCTTCCAGTTAAGGATTATGGAGGCCACTGTGCTCTTAGGAACCTTGAGTGCTGCAGAAATTCTTTTGTAACCTTGGCCAGATCTGTGCCTTGCCACAATTCTGTCTCTGAGCTCCTTGGGCAGTTCCTTCGACCTCATGATTCTCATTTGCTCTGACATGCACTGTGAGCTGTAAGGTCTTATATAGACAGGTGTGTGCCTTTCCTAATCAAGTCCAATCAGTTTAATTAAACACAGCTGGACTCCAATGAAGGCGCAGAACCATCTCAAGGAGGATCAGAAGAAATGAACAGCATGTGAGTTAAATATGAGTGTCACAGCAAAGGGTCTGAATACTTATGACCATGTGATATTTCAGTTTTTCTTTTTTAATAAATTTGCAAAAATTTCTACATTTCTGTTTTTTTTCTGTCAAGATGGGGTGCTGAGTGTACATTAATGAGAAATAAAATGAACTTTTTTGATTTTAGCAAATGGCTGCAATGAAACAAAGAGTGAAAAATGTAAAGGGGTCTGAATACTTTCCGTACCCAATCATGGATGACTTGTGAATGTAATCTGGTTGTGAAGGTGCCAGAAACAAAACACAGCGGAAGCACACGTAGGCTATGTGCTGTGCCTGAACAGCCACCGCAGGAGGTGAAAGACGCAGAATAGCCAGGTCCTGCAGTTTGTGGAGTGTCTGCTCGAGGGCTGGCTCCAAGAACACAGGAAGTCACATTCA